GAAAGAGACCAGAAAGTAGTGACAACAACAACAAAAATTAATTAAAGAGGTATACAAAGAAGAAATTATAAAAAGAAGAAGGAAGAAAGAAGCAGCAGTGGTTGGGAAATAGAATTCAAAAGAAGTAAAAAAAAGAAAGAGTAGATGAAGAAGAAAGTAATCAAGAGAGATAAAGGCAAGGGAGAAAGAATAAATAAACAAAAACAATACAAAATAAAAAAGGCAGGTGCCAGGTCCAGAAAGAAGACAATTCTAGGGTTTCCTATCAGTCACAGAACTCACATTGTGAGTGGATAATTGATGAGACTGTAACACTCAATCCTTGATGGCATTTCTGTAGGGCCAGGTGTTGTCTCTTTTGGGCACCCAATCTAGAAATAGTTCGTGCATACCCTAAAGCAGCTGGGGTATCAAGGTATTTCTGACTCAGAGGGGGGCCAATGGTGAGAAGTCCTACTAGTCCTGGGTTGAACATAAACAGCTCTGCAGGTCTGGAATAGGGCACACCTAATACCAGGTGCTGAGGTTGGTGGTGCCAGCTGCCCATAAACTTTGATGTGGCTTCTACTAGTGGAAAGAAGGAACTTCGCTGATTGTGTACATGGATGAGGGCTGTCAAAACCTCTAGTCACTAGAGTGACATGGGGTACAGGAAGAAGAAAAAAAAAAAAACCATCCCTCTACTGTCCACCAATAAATACTATGCCTCTTCACCACTTATTGCCCTCTTGCCTTCAAAGTTACCTGGGAAAGTTCAAGATGACCACACCACAGATGACCTGGCTGCAGGCATAGATCAGCTGTTTCTTTGTATTTTTTTTTCTTTTCCTATGCTGCTACGGCAGCTCCAACCACTGGGAGAGTGGGAGTTTTCCTGGGGATGTATGTGGGTGGGGTCCAGCCTCACCTGTGTCACCAGGGAAGTGGGGAACAAGAAAAAAATCACTGCAATGCAATAAGTTTTCTTGTCTATGTAGCTGATAGCAAAAACTCAAAAGGACTGTGCGTCTGTCAGGTCACTGGCTTGTATAACCTATCTCTTCTTGTTTTGCCTTATCTGCTGAAAAATCTCTCCTAGTAAGCATTAAATCCACCCTCTACCTCTTCATCTGAGATACAGTCTCATGACTATCATCTGTATCTGTTTCATTTGATTATTGTTATCTTTGTTGTAGAGGATCCATACAGTCTTTTGGCCTAGTCTGCCATCTTGCTACCTCTCTTCTTGCTTGAAGTTATCAATTTTATTAATCTTTTCAAAGAAACAACTTTTGGCCTTCTTTCCTTTCTCTTTTATTGATTACTGTACTTACATTTATTATATTCTTTCTTAATTTGGTTTAAATTTACTCTGTTAAATTCCAAAACTTACGTTGTATTTTTATTTCTTTTAGTTTAAGATATTTTCTATTTACATTGTGAGTTTTCCTTTGACACATGAGTTATTTTCATTGTGTTGTTTTAATTTCCAAGTATTTAAGATTTCTAGGCATTTTTATTATTGATGTATAATTTAATTCCATTGTAATCAGAAACATTATCTAAATTTTTAAAATTAATTGAGTTTTTATAGCACAGCTTATTATCCATCTTGGTGTATGGTCTACAAATATTTGAATTTTTTTTTTTTTTTTTGACATTTGTTGGACTTAGTGCTATATAAGTATCAGTTTTGTAAATGAGTGAAAGAAAGTTTTGTTTAAATCTTTTATACTTATTCTGATTTTTTTTCCTGCTTTTTAGCAATTATTGAGTTGTTGTTGTTGTTGTTAGGTGCCATTGAGTCGGAACCAACTCATAGCGACCCTATGCACAGCAGAATGAAACAATGTCTGATCCTTAACTTATTGAGTTAGGTGTGTTAAAATCTCCTACTATTATATGACATTTGCTATCTTTTTCTGTAAATTTTTGCTTCATATATTTTCAACTTTTTATTAGATATATACACATTTTTTGTTTTTGTTTTCCTTTCACTGTAGAAGGGTAAGGAAACAAGTGTCTGAAATAATTCACAGATTGGATATTTAGCAACTAGATAACAGTATGCTTAGGGACTTAATCCTACATTCATATTGTTGTTGTTATGTGCTGTGGAGTTAGTTGCGACTCATAGCGACCCTGCAAAGGGTTTCCAAGGCTGTAAATCTTTATGGGAGCAGAAAGCCTCATCTTTCTCCTGTGGAACAGCTGGAAGTTTCTAACTGCTGACCTTGCGATTCGCAGCCCAATTCATAACCACTACGCTACCAGAGCTCCTTACATTAGCTAATTAATGTCACCTTTTATTGGGAGAATCATCCTAAATACCTTTTAAAAGTTTTTCTTTTTATTGTGATATATATAAATATACCTGGCTCCTTGGAAGCCAGGATGGCCAGACTTCATCTTGCATACTTCAGACTTATTATCGGGAAGAGTTAATCCCTGGAGAAGGATATCATATTTGGTAAAGTGGAGGGTTGGAGAAAAAGAGTAAGACCCCCCAGTGAGATAGATTGGCATGGTGGTAGCAGCAATGGACTCAAATGTAGTCACTGTTGTGAGATTGTTTTTTTTTGTTAAGGGCCATCAAGTTGATTCTGACTCTATACATATATTAAGTGATTTTATATGAGCTTAGACAAAGGTACTTATATGAGCTTAGACAAAAATATTTTCACATAGGTAAAACATTGATGTCATAAACAAACCATATGGCTCATAATTTCATTACTGGATTCTCTATATTAGACATTGAAGATGTGACACCTTTTCATCCCAGCATCTCTATTGTTAACTTGTTATTTTAGCTTTATAGTGACAGAATCTTTAAAGAGCTACAATAGGTGGAGGCCACAGACACTATGTATAAACACAGGAATAGAAAGACGTCTTGATGAAAGTGAGGACAGCATAAAAATATTTACAGAAGCAAAGACAAAATGGTTTAGAATGACAGAATATTAAGAAAACATTAATCTGCTGCTATAATGAGGCCTCTTCTGGCTCCCAAAACCTTTGCTTTCTTCTCCCTTCATCCTTGCTCATGTTTCTTCCATTGCTCTTCCCTTGTCTGGAGATGAGGTTGTTTGTAAGTTTTCTTATAGATGCTCACTCTGCTTACATGTTCATTCATGGCATTATTTTTTTTAGATTGCCTCCGTGGCTTCAGCTTCCCTTTGTGTGGCTCATAGGTGGGGGGATGAGACAAACTTGCTTTGAGATCAAACACTGGTTTCTTATTGGAGACAGAAGTCTGAACTGCCTCTGTAGTCAGCTTGAAGGGAGTAATAACAGCAGCAGAATCAGCCTTTACCTTTTGTGTCCCAAGCAAAGCCAGGTCTTTAGGGGTACTCCCAGATGCATTCACATGTGGGTGTGTGCCGCTGTTACTTTGAAACTATGAATTATGTAATTGTTCAAACAGACAAACAAAAAATTATCTATGATGGTTATGGAGGTTGGGGAAATGGAGGTGAGAGAAAAATATTCATGGGCTAGAGGGCAGGCACATGTTAACATGGGCAACAGGGCAGACAATATACAATAAGAGGAAGGTTAGCAGAAGAAAGTGAAGGAAGCAGGAGACACAGGGAGGAATGCAATAGTTTAGTGTTAACTGTTGGTATATGGAGGGGACTGCAAACATGAAATGAAACACAGTATATGATTTGTTCGATGATGATCTTCCCTGTAAACCTTGACTCAATTTACAATACAGAATTAAAAAAAAAAAAATCTATTGCCCAGATATTGTTGTTGCTAAGTGCCATTTAGTCGGTTCTGACTCATAGCGACCCTATATAGGGGTTTCAACCTTGCTGTTCAAACAGACCTTATGGTCATGTGCTTATCCTATGGTGCCACACCAGAACACCGTAGACATATGGACTTGCCCATAGATACATGGGTTTATTTCTGAACTCTGAATTCTAATTCATTTATTTATATGTCTATCATTCTGCTGGTACTAATTACAGCTTCATAGTATGATTTGAGACTGAGATTGCTATTTGGCTATTTGGGGCCATCTGTAGTTCCAGATTTAGTGATTGGCTTTCCACTTCTGTGAAGAAGGCAGTTGGAATTTTTATTGGATTACCTAAACACTTTATTTGAAAATTCATTGTAGCAGGGGATGCTGAACAAATCTTGAATAGTAAATAAAAAAGAAATTTGTTCTTATCACATATTGTAATGGCTTAAGAAATACAATCATAGATAGCATTTATGGGTCCAGCTTCTCAAATGCTAATTTACCCAAATAATGTAATGCCAAAATTGAGTAAATTAAAGGCTCTTTCATCTTCTCTTTTAAAAGCCTGATATATAAAATATAATTAAATTCCAAAAACTTAAAATAAAAAATGAGAGAACAACTCTGTTTGGTAGTAGTAACAAAAATCCCAGTGTGATATATGGAAATGTAGAGGAGTGGTTTTACTCATAAAAATCTTACAAAGAATAATCTTGCATGATACCAATCAGCTATAACAATGATCTCCTTTTGATAGAATGTGCTCTCTCTAGTTTATTATAATTTTCACCATTCACACTACTTCTCTCTACTTTCACTAAGGCATGGACAAGTCATCTATCTTGCTGCTTTATTTTCTTCATTAGAATTAGTCTTCTTCATTTTAAAGAGGAATTTTATAAGCATAATAAGGACAAGACTAAAACGGTGTCAAATTTAGTGAAAATAGAGATTTACCTAAAAGTCATACTGTTTGCTAAATTTTATTTTACTTTCTTAGTTCTTAAAATAGTTTTTATTTTATTCATTTTTTTCAACATTCAGAGACATTCACTATTATCTCTTTTGATTTCAAATATATTGGAAATATCCCCATTTTAAACCTTAGAGCTGCTCAGCAGGTTCTTATTCAATGAAAATGAATATTAAATTTTAGCAACGAAAAGAAAGGTCTAAATGAATTGTAACATTGCTATTGGTAATATTGAATCACTGTTTATTAGAAGAACCACCCATTTATTTATCTTCTATGTTTATCCAGGTGGGGTAAAACCTTGTGCATTAAACTGCTTGGCTGAAGGGTATAATTTCTACACTGAACGTGCCCCTGCGGTGATTGATGGGACTCAGTGCAATACGGATTCACTGGATATCTGTATCAATGGAGAATGCAAGGTTACACAGATTGTGAATTTCATTTTTTTTTGTTGATGTTTTTGAGACTTTGTCATTTTCAGAGATAGAAGATCCTTACTAATATTGTGTACAATTTTCATGTATAGAACTCAATTTTAAAGAAAATTTTATTTTCCAAAAAGGATGACAATTTATGTAGTTAAAGGCACATATTCAAGTGTCAATCAAGTGGAATTGATTCTAGTCTTCTAATTATGTATACCGTGGTTGTCAGAATTATGAAAATATCTTGGACTTTAGTTTCTGTTATTCTTTCATTCTGTTTACAAACAATATGATAGAAAAAGAGAGGGGACAAGGATTCTTGTTCATATGGCTACCATATGCTTTCATTGGAAGATTATTTGATTTATTTCATGGAATCATTTTTCCTCAAAGTGTGAAATAGTTATGTTCCTCCTATTTTGTCTCCTTTTCAGGCATTTGTAATGGTTTTCATTATACAGTTAATCTTTACCCTATTGAAGCATTTACTTTAGAGAATTAACTAGACACGTTGTGAATTGTAGGAGCTATCCATGAGATTTTCTTAGAATATAGTTTCTTTTAACAATAAGAGAAGTATGCAGGTAGCTACAAAGTCCACTGTTTTCATACATTTTTGCTAGTTTGTATTTTACTTTAAAAAGAAGCACAAAACAGTTATAGAAAAAAAACAGATAAAAACACTGTCTACTTTACTTACTCTGACAGCTTCTTAGAAAAGTTTGTATCTTTCAGGGTACTTACCTCCAAATGTATTTGATTAGACCGTTGTTTCTCTGGCCATATTCAAGTTTATTCAGATAATAAAGACTAGATGAAGATTTAATATATGTAATGTCTGCTTAGCATTAATAGCAAAAGATTAAATGTGCAGCTTCAAGTGCTGAATTGTTCACAGAAGACATTAAAAAACAAAACAACCACATATAGTTGATTAAATGCAGAATTGAGAGGTGGCATTTCAGCTTTTAAAGCCCTTGCTTACATCTTTTTGCTCATATAGTCCTGGTGTGATGCTATAAGATAAGCACTGGACTGTTAACCACAAGGTTGGCATTTCATACTTAACCAGTTGCTCCTTGGAAATCTTACACATGGTCGCTATGAGTTAGAACCAACTCAACAATAATTAACAACAATAGTGGAAACATATTAGTCTTTAAAAATTTACCCAGTCATGAATCCCATAGCGAATGTTTGACTCTAGTAATTGAATATCCCCCCAAAAGTCTGTGGGTTAGAAAGGGTTAACGTTAATGCTCAGTTGGAACTCTTAGTGTTATGATAACCCTGCATAAGACCTCTGAAACCTGTGTGTTTTTTCTTAGTTCTTGGATTTCTTGATTGAGGGTATAAGTTAGAACTTGTTGCTAATAATTGACACTAATTTAAAGAGTTGAAGCATGTTATCTGAAAATGAAAAAGTCTAGTTAGAAATATAGGCATATATTCCTGAGGGGTAGAAGTTTCTTTTTCCTTGAATTTATGTGTTGAGACCTATTAACTAGGACTTACAAGAGAGTGAAAGTGGAAAGAGGAAAAATAATTTCTGTTTTGATTTCCTTTACTGGAAAAATAAGTAAATAACATTTATTTGATTAGCTATGGTTCCAAGAATTCCTCTTTTTGACACACTGACTATTCTTCTCTGTTTTCAGCATGTAGGTTGTGATAATATTTTGGGATCTGATGCTAGGGAAGATAGATGTCGAGTCTGTGGAGGGGATGGAAGCACATGTGATGCCATTGAAGGGTTCTTCAATGATTCGTTGCCCAGAGGAGGTGAGTGTGTAGAGAGAACTCTTCCTCACACCTCTGGTGTACTTGGAATAGCCAAAACAGTTTCTTTTCCCCACTTATTTAAAAATGTCTTCATTTAGATAGACAAGCTTATGTTTTCCCCAAATTGCTTTCAGTCCTATAATTACAAAATGTGGCTTAATGTAAGATATTTTAAGGAAATATTATTTCCTCTCTACTTAATTTCATTTAGCCACATTTCATTTTCATATGAATTTCCACAGAGCATTGATGGGAGGGTCATGTATGGAGGAGAAGAAAAAAACCTATTACACATGTGAGGCTTTAAAAGTATCTTGAGATAACTTTAGAGATTCATAAAAATACTCTAGAAATATTCATTAATCCAAAAGGGAATTTACCAGTATTTCATAATTTATGAAATATAAAGTCACAGGAAGAATGGAAGGATAAGGAAACTTTATTACTGAACAGTAACTAAATCTGTATTTTCTACCAAAGGTGTAGTTGCTGATTATTACTGGTTATCTTCTGTATTTTAGGCTACATGGAAGTTGTGCTGATACCAAGGGGTTCTGTCCACATTGAAGTCAGAGAAGTTGCCATGTCAAAGAATTACATTGGTAAGTAGCATATTTTGTTGGATTTAAAAATTTATGAGAAAAACTATCATAGCATCATGAAGGAAAAACATACTATTTTGTGGCAGAATATCTTATGTACAAATTAAGGAAGATCCAAATTTTAAAGGACTATATGTAAATGCTAAATTCAAATTAATAGCTTATAGTTGAATTTTAACTGTGTTGGTTCTTTTTTTAAAATCGAGTTAATTGTGGCATAATTTATATGTATATAAATTATATCCATTATATTCAATGAATACTGTTAATTACATATATTTATATAAATACCACAATTAAGTTATAGAAAATTTCTTTGACTCCAAAAAAGTTACCCCATTTCCCTTATGCAAACATTGATCTCTAGGAATTTCATATAAATGGAATCCTACAGTATATACTTATGTTTGACTTTTATTGCTAAGTATATATTTTTTAGATTTATTTGATTTGTTGAGTGTATACAAAGTTCAATACTTTTAATTTCCAAAAAGCATTCCATTGTCTGGATAGACCACAATTTGTTTACCCATTTACCTGTTGATGGATATTTGGTTCATCTCCAGTCTTCAACTATTATGAATAAAGCTTCTTTGAGCATTCATTTAAACAAACAAACAAAAACCCTTGTGTGGACATGTATTTCATTTCTACTGGGTTAAAGTCTAGAGGTGGAATTACTTGTTTATATACAACTACATGTTCAACTTTATGAGAAATTACTTTAAAATGCTTTCCAAAGTAGTTGTAACATTTTATAATAACATCAGTAATGGAGAAGAGTTACAGTTACTCTACATTCTATCAACTCTTAGTATTCTCAGTCTTTTAAATTTTACCCATAAAAATATATGTTTTTTGTAAAGTGTCTAAGCAAAGTTAAATTTTCAAAAAAAATTGAACTGTAAGAATTCTTTACATTATCTAAATACAAGTCTTATATATGTTTTCTGAAGAGTTTGTCCAGTTTGTATCTTATTTGCCCATTTTCCTAATGATGTCCTTTACTTTTGGTGAAATCCAATTTGTACCTTTTATTTCATAGCTTGTGGTTTTGTGGCCTATATTTGAAATTTTGCTTGCCCTAAGGTTGAAGAGTTTGTTGTCAATTCCATTACAGGAAGTTTTATTGTTTTAGTTTTTAAATTTGCCTGTATGGTCCATTTTGAGTAATTTCATAAAAGTAAGGTACATGGTGGTGTTGGTGACTGTGTGTCACTGAGTCAGTCTGACACATAGGGACTCTGTAGGATGTTTCCAAGGTTGTAAATCTTTGCTGGAGCACAAAGCCTCTTCTTTCTCCTCTGGTAGGTTCAAATTGCTGACCTTGCATTTGTCAGCCCAACTCATAACCCATTATGCTACATGGGCTCCTTATAGAAATTTTATATAATTTTTATTTAAGCAATATAAGGGTTAATGTTCAATTTTTAATATAAATATTCAATTATTATTGCACTATTTTTGAGAATGGTATCTTTTTCCTTATTACATTTCCTTTGTGATAGAGCAATTGAGTATGTGATTTTTTTCAGAGTTTGTCATTATTTTATCTCTAGAAGTTCCATGGCACTTTCAGTGTTCTCCTCCAACACTGTAACTCAAAAAGCACAAATAGTTCTTCCAATAGTTGGTCAGATAGTTGTCTTCCAAACTTCTTGGCATAGATGAGTGAGTGCCTACTGCGCTGCCTCACTTTCTTGAAAGATTTCAAGTTTTTATTCCATCAGTTCCTGGTGCATTGTTCTTTGCCAATACCTTCAGTGCACCTTAGACTTCTTCCTTCAGTATTATTGACTCTGGATCACATGCTACCTCTTGAAACAGTTGAACATCAACTATTTCCTTTTTGTACAGTGACTCTGTATTCTTTCCATCTTCTTTTGAAATGTTTTCTGCATCATTCAATGATTTGCCCAGAGAATCCTTCAATAACGAAAGTCGAGTCTTGAATTTTTTTCTTCAGTTCCCTCAGCTTGAGAAATGCTGAGTGTGTTCTTCCTTTTGACTTTCTGACTCCACATCTTTGCACATTTTGTTGTAATATTTGACTTTATCTTCTTGAGCTGACCTTTGAATTTTTCTATTCCAGTCTTGTAGTTGCACATTTCTTCCATTTGCTTTAGCATCTCTATGCTGGAGAGTAAGTTTCAATGTCTCTTCTGACATCCCTTTCTATCTTTTTCTTCTTTCTTGTCTTCTTCTTAATGACTTCTTTCTTCCTGTATGATATTTTTGATGTCATCCCACAACTCTTTTGGTCTTAGATCTTTATTGTATAATGTATCAAATCTGTCTTCAGATGATCTCTAAATTGAGGTGGGATATATTCAAGGTCCTAATTTGCCTCTCTTGGACTTATTTTTTTTTTTTTTTTCAGCTTCAGTTTGAATTTATATATGAACAGTTGATGGTCTGTTCCACAATCTGCCCCTGGCCTTGTTTTCACTGATGATATGGAGCTTTCCCACCTTCTCTTTCCATAGCTGTATTCAGTTTGATTTCTGTGTATTCCATCTGGTGAGGTACATGTGTATAATTGTCTCTTATGCTTTCTAAAGAAGGTATTTGAAATGAACAAATCATTGGTTTTGCAGAATTCTATCATGCGATCTCCAGCATCATTTCTATCATGAAGGCCATATTTTTCAACTACTAATCCTTCCTCTTTGTTTTCAACCTTTGCATTCCAATCACAAGTAATGATCAATACATCTTGATTGCATATTTGATCAATTTCAGATTGAAGAATTTGGTAGAATTCTTCTATTTCATCCTCACTGGCTTTTGTGTTTGGTGCATAAATTTGAATAATAGTAATATTAACTGGTATTCCCTATAGGTGCATGGATATTATCCTATCACAGACAGTGTTGTACCTCATGACTGATCTGGATATGTTCTTTTTGACAATGAATACAGCACCATTCCTCTTCAATCTGTCTTTCCTGGCATAGTAAACCATGTGATGTTGTTGTTGTTGTTAAGTGCCGTCAAGTCGGTTCCAACCCATAGTGACCCTGTACAGGGTTTCCGAGGGTGTAAATCTTTACGGGAGTAGAAAGCCTCATCTTTCTCCC